GAGTAGAGCATAATAAAGAATCCAGTTCTGTGTCATTTCGTGTTCTGCGTCGCCTCGGGAGTTGGTGAGATTTAGTGTGGAGCATGGGGACGAGAGGAAGGAGCGCCTTTTGAAACGCTCTAGGCCTTAATGCTTCCCATTTTGCCTCCAAATGCTAAATCTTTCCTCCCCTGGCCTGCGATCATTCACAAAGCAGGGCACTCTTAGCCGTCTTAGATGACTACACAACAATCCCTGTCTGCTCACCTAGTTCCCTCGGAGCACACCTTGTTGTACCTTGCATTGGGCTGCAAGTCTTTACAAGGACTTGTGTCTTTAGTTTTGGGAGCATACCCATTGCTGTTCCTCTGTGCAGAGCGTTGCCTCTTGCAGGCTCTCAGCATAACTCATCTCAGAAGGTCTCTAATACGGTCTTGTGACCAAAGTAGAGTTGGCCAAGAGATCACGACAGGTTACTGATGCCTTCATCCAACTTCTGGGCTGGAGACAGTGCAGCCACTATGTAAAATATGACCCAATGTTTGAGAAGCCTCCTGGTTCAAAGGATTCTCCTTCTGTCCTATGCAAGGAGCACAGGTTGTTTAAAGACTTAGGAGAATGAGTGTGCGTGATGTACACCATGGGGCCAACTGCCCACAGTAGGGTGTCATCAGTGGGTATTTTTGCATCCTCAACGCGGCCCCTTTTCGGGCTGTGCAGCCAGGAGACTGCTGTGATGGCCGAGTGGTTAAGGCGTTGGACTTGAAATCCAGTGGGGTTTCCCTGCGCAGGTTCAAATCCTGCTCACAGCGAGAGGTTTTAGCGCCAGGCTTCCCTCGCTGCGACACACACGTCACGCGTGGGCACAGGTCTCAGCTTCTCAGAAGCAAGAAGGCACCAGCAGAAATGAAGGAAGGGGAGGAAATGATGGCTATGGAATCCAAACAAAAAGTCTGAAAGCTGCAGTGCACTGGACCCTGCAGAAATGCTCGTGACGTTTTATACTCCTTGAAAATATATTCAGTACACTCAGCACAGCCTCACTGGAGACATGTCCTTGCATGACCAAAGAAGATTTGATCCGTCAGTACTTAACACTGGAGCGACCATCCTATAGATTCAGAGCCTAGTTTGTTACAGTGCAAGAGCAGTGAATATACGTCGCCATGTAGTCCAAATAACTTGTCTGAGGTTGGCACAACACTTTTCTGAGGTGGAGAGACAGGGCACATGGGTACGAACTGCTTGGCCAAAAGAAGAGACTTTCAGACTGCCTTAACAAAACCCAACATGTAGCCCCAGATTTTTCATTTCAGAAAGTGAAATTCTCAATTCACCCAACTCAGTCTAACCTGCCCTCATGGACAAGGTCCAGGACCTTGTTGTTATGGGAAATGATGTTGAAAGCCTTTCTGAAGACAAAGGTGAACATCATCGACTTCTCTCCCCTCATCTACCCAGGTAGTCAATCCATCACAGAAGGCTATTGGGTTGACTAAACCTTGTTGTTTCCCTTTTGCAAATCTGTATTGACCCCTCCCCAGCACTTTCCTGCCCTTTACATGTATGGAAATAATGCCCAGTATTAATTCTTCCATCCCCTTTCCTGGGGAAGCTGGCTGACCATGTCATTCATGGGCTCCTTCTTCTTGCCCTTCTCAAAGATAAGGATGATGTTTGCTCTCTTCCAGTCCTCAGGAACCTCTGTTGGTCACTGTGACCTCTCAAAGATAGCTGAGAGTGGGTTTGCAATGGCCCTGGCTGGATAACTCCAGTCTGCTTCATTTGATGCTTCCCCATTTTTGTACAGCAAGAGGCTGTATTGAAGCCCATTGAAGAGCCCAAGAGCCCATTGAAGCCAACTGAGGAGATTGAAGCTCTATCTTCTCCAAATTGGTCATGAATGTAGAAATCCCTGCCCTACCATATCTCTTCCCAAATGAAAAAGCTGAGCTTACCTGGCTGTTCTCTGTGTGAAGGCTGTTCCAGGACTTTGAGTAAACTTTCTGACCCCAATTTGAGCAGGAGCTTGGAGCGACTTCATGAATCTGAATTATCCTGGGAGCCTGTGAACTAGGAGAGCCGCACGGTGGCACTGGAGCTGCACAAACGAGGGGATGTTCTCTGTCTCAGGAGCTTGTTCCCAGACCTTTGCTGACAGCCCCAATCAATCCTGCTGCAAGGGAGGCTGCACAAGCAGAGAGGATACTGGCCTCCCATCACAGCTGACCATGTCCTAGTGCTCCAACACCTCTGGAAGCCTGATACAGTTTATCCCTGGAGCTGTTTCCATCCATGTTTGTTCGGAGTGATATAATGTTTAGAGTCCTGACAGTTTACATTTCTGTTATTTACACTGGAAAATTTTCCTACAACACTTCTGTCCTAAGCACTCCCAGAGACATGAGCCTGATCCAGATGCTAATTCCTGCTGTTGATTATTTTTCTCTGCCTCCATCCTAAACTAACCTGTCTTCTAGCTGTCTTTAGCTAGCAACCAAGACAGCTCCGATCCAAGTCCTTTGGGGAAAATATCCTTTAAGGTCTATCTTGAATTACATACACGTCATCTCTATAGTGATCTGCTTATTTTTATGAACCTTGGACCATTAAAGATCTGCCACCAGCTGCCACTGCTGTTCTGCTTTAGCCTGAGGCAGTTCCTCAGTCTCATTTGCCACGTGGCCACACAAACACTCGTACAAGGAGAAGCGCAGGAGGGCACAGGCGTAGCGAGGAGATGGATTAGCTGCGATAGTCATCAATAGCTCCATATCAACACCCCTATTCTCTTGTCCACATTGTGGTTGCGCCGTAATTTTGGTATGCCAGTATAGCTGGCATCTGACCAAACTGGACATCTTCTACAATGAGAAGAAAATCCTAAGACTTCTCAGCTGGATCAATTCCTTGCTCTGTGTCATACTCTGGTGGCAGAAGGAGCTGAGGCAACATACTGTGGAGGAGTCCTGGGTGGTTGGAAGGTGATAGCGGGTTGGGATTGACCATTACCAAAGAACAAACTTTTTGAGCCCAAGAGGAGAAAGCTGCTCCATCCCAGAAGCTTCTTCTGGGATTTCCTCATAGAATATTCTTCCCAAGAGCAATTTGATCCTCAGGAGATCTCAACGTCATAACCCAGAGAAATCCTGTTTTTCATAGTACAAAGCAGAACAGGCCAGCACTAGGAGACAGTCCATCTGCATTGCCCTGCCCTTTATTTGCCTAGAGTGCATTTTGCACAAGACGCGGAGTATTGTTGCTTTCCTTCATGTAAGCTTGGTAGATAGGAGAGCCCCTGTGATGGGCTTTGTATTCATCACACTTGAAGTTTGTTGCTCCCCTGCATATTCAAGGGAGCTCAATGGAAGTCTTCGAGCCAGAAGAACCACTCGAGGGTTCAGAGTTTGGACTCTGTACTGGTAGACGGGAGGCTGCTGTGATGGCCGAGCGGTTAAGGCGTTGGACTTGAAATCCAGTGGGGTTTCCCTGCGCAGGTTCAAATCCTGCTCACAGCGAGAGGTTTTAGCACCAGGCTTCCCTCGCTGCGACACACGCGTCACGCGTGGGCACAGGTCTCAGCTTCTCAGAAGCAAGAAGGCACCAGCAGAAATGAAGGAAGGGGAGGAATCTGGATTTGCTATGCAATCCAAACAAGGGAGGTCTGAAAGAGGGGCAAAGATCCAGCGTGCTGGACCCTGCAGAAATGCTCGTGATGTTTTATACTCCCTGAAAATATATTCAATTCTGCATAGAGGAGAAATTCAGAAGTGAAGTTCCTCAAGCCTTAGCATCAGGTCTTGGCTCTGTTTCATGCCACGATTAGGCCTAGTTTGAGGAAAAACATCATTCTCCAAAACGGCTATTAATATCATACAAAGCTTGGACGGAAGTCAAAAATAACAGCGAACGAGAAAACTACTCACCATGCAGCCAAATAGGAAGTACAAGCAAAGCCTGGCCTTGCAAAACATCAATGGCAGGAAGGAAAAGCAAAGGAGTCACAACAAGCTGCGGAGGGAAAAAATGCAAATAGCCTCAGTTGCCCATATTTGCCATTTTCAGGGACAAATTCCTTGGGCATTCCCTGACATTTTTTTAAATGGTTCTCCCCCATTTCCAGAATCTATGCCCACTTCCAGAGTTTCTCATCCAGCCAGGATCTTTTTTTTTTTTTTTTTTTTTTTTTTTTTCCTTTTTTTTTTTCCTTTCTTTTTTTGCAATTGCCCCCAAACTTCATTTCCCTCATATAAATAGCCTATATATAGAGGAACAGGACAGGATTAGTCTCTCCACCTCTGCTGAATGTCTGTGTACTAATTATGTGTTATGAGACATCAACCACAAGGTGGAGGTGTCTCCCCTTATCACTTCCAAGCCTATGTACAGGCAGCCCTGCTTCTGCACAACTTCCAGATCACTACCTCATAGCAGGATTTCTTTTTAAAAATAGTCCTTTTTTTTTTTTTTTCTTTTTTTCTTTTTTCAGACGTATTATGGTAGAAGAAGGTGGAATGTTAACATGGAGCTTTCAAGTGTTTCAAAGTCTTAGGCTAAAATACCTTCCTGAAGTCCTTTCCTGAGTTAGTCTGTCTTCAAAGGCATGAGGGTTCTCGCGTCTGCTTGCAGCTTGGTGAGCCAATGAGACGATCGCGAGGGCTTGATCAACAAGAAGAAAAATAATTCAGAGAAAAGTAAATGGATGATAGCGAGGGGTTCGGTTAACCGACCGCAAAAAAACACAGCGCCCAGCGTCTGCTCTCTACGTGACGGCCTCACCACCTCGCACACCCAAAGACTCTGTCTGCAAAGCCCTGGAAGACACTCTGATACCAACGGACTCCCCTGGCTCCTCAGGGAGGGCTCCTTATCTGCAAGAGCAAAGCCTTCCTTGCTATCTGAAGCTTGAGAGACATTCAACTGTCTCCCAACTGCTCTGATCCTGTGATAAGGCCGGAGCATTGCTACCCAGCGAGGTTGGGAAACTCCAGCACACCAGGGTCCGATCTCCGTTGTGCAGCCTGGCAACAGAGAACAACAAAACCCTGCCCTGTTATAGCAGGGCCTCATGGACTACATGGAGCCCAGAGAACTAATAAGAGCTCCCTCATCTATTTCCAACCAGCTTCTTCCACGCCATGTGCCTCTAGCCTTCATGCTCTCCCTCAAGACCAGGAAGAACAGAACTACCTGCAAGCATCTAGAGCTTGCGAGTGCTTGCATGAGCATCTGGAAACCTGCAAGTGCCTTCCCTCGTCAGCCCTTTGTGCCGAATCTATCAATTCAGACAGTTTTAACACTGATACAGACAAAAACTTTCCAGGATATTAATACATAATCACAGAACGGTTGAGATCCGAAGGCTCCTTTGGAGATCATCCAGTTCAGACCTTCTGCACAAGCAGGTGTGCCTAGAGCAAACTGCACAGAATTGCCTCCAGGTGGGTTGGAGTAATTCTAGAGACTCCACAGCCTCTCTGGGCAGCCTGTTCCAGTGCTCCGGCACCCTCACGGTCAAGAAGTCTTTCCTCATGCTTGGATGGAACCTCCTCTGTTTCAGGCTGTACCTGTTCCCTCTTGTCCTGGCACCGGCCACCACTGAAACAGCCTGCTCCCATCCTCTTAATACTCTCTCATAACATGCAAATGTCATACAAGATATGACACTGAAGGGCTTGCTTTATTAAAGACAATAGAAATCACAACCTACATGGAAAGGTTAAAGGAACCACAATTCCTCAACCTGCTAAGAGAAGTCAAGGGGAGGCACTGAGAGCAATCTTCAAAACATAAAAGCCTGCCGCAGAAGAATCTGTCCTCCAGGATCATAGGGGAGAAGATAAGAAGTAATGTGAGGGGATCCAGACCTAAGATCAGAAAAAGCTTCCGATGATAAGGAGGAGGAAGATTAGATCAAAATGCATGGCCGGGGAAGTGTGCACTCGCCAGCAAAGCAGGTCTGTAAGAATAAGCTGAAGCGATGTGTCAAGAGCGATGCAGCTGGTCCTGCCCTTGGCAGGAAGGTAGTTCTATCTCACCAATGAACGTTTAGGTAGAGGTTTTTGAGGACAATGTAGTTCTAATTACCATGAAATTCCAAAATTACTTGAGCTTTTCTTTTTTTTCCCCCTCTTTCCTGCACAGCTTGAAACTTGAATCCAACAGCAACGTTAACTAAGTAAAAATAGTTAAAATATAATGCACACAGAAAGCTGCTTCAAAAGTGTCCGTTCGCAAAGAAATAGCAGCAACTACTGCTGGATCACTGCTCTCCCAAGCAGAGATGGAGCTCGGATATTTCTGCAAGCAGAACTAATCTCCACCCAGTTATGTGTTCCTGCAAAATCCCCACTCCAAATGCTGTGTTCCTTTTGGGACTTTGCTATCTGAAATGGCAGTATTCCCTCGCTGAGCAGGGTTTTACCGTTGGCCAAAGTTACAAACAAGAGATTACGTGACGTGGTTTCCTGTGCAAGAAAAACTGCGTTTGACGACCTGGTGAACCTCTCGGGCTGGGAGGATAAAGTTGGTTTTCTCGGTCTTTAACTTGGAACGAATTCAGCCAAGTTTTTTTGTTGTAGTTTTCATCCAAAGGAACAAAGAAATAAATAAGCAAAAAAGGATGGGTCTTTCCTTGTGGGTTTTTTTTTTTTGGGGGGGGGGGAATCAAAATACCCAAAGCACTGAGAAGGCTGTCACAGCTCTCCAGAGTGGTTAATTTAGAACATGCTTCGAGGCATGTCAATAGGTGATGCCAAAACCCTTGAAGATATAGAACTCTCCTTTTCAAAAGAAGTAGGCTCTTGACCATGCACAGACCTACTGAGGACCCAACTGAGATCATTTTTTATTTGACAGGATTTTATCTGATAATGCACTTCCATAATTCTGGTCCCTGGGTGAGTAGTTACAGGCTGTGATCAAGTCCCTCAAAACCGTCTCCCTAAGGGGTTAATTCCTTACATCTCTTGCCCTAGAGCTTTTGACCGGTTCTTGTGGCACTCGAATGATCTTTGGCCTTGCAATCGCTGACTAGACGAAATGAGAACCCCTGATTATTTTCACAGGCCGCGTTACTGAGACGCTGTCTCCCAACAGCTCACAACATCTGAGCCTCTTGATTATGAAACTCGCCGCGTGTGCGGACAGGAGGCGTTTCATCCGGAACTGGAACACATCAACCAAGCGCCGTTTCCTTTGAGCAGCAGATAAGCAGATCCCAACGATAGAGAGGCCCTGTTTGAACAGACATTGTGCTTCCAGCTCTCAGAACAGGCTCCAGGGCCAAAGAGGAAGGAAGTATTTAATATTGTGAACGGGGGACATATAGAGAAAAACAACACTTCAAAATGCAGCACTCTTCAAGTGATGTGCTCTGCAACGTTAACCCACTGCTGTCAACGTGAGGCCTCCTGAAAGGCCATTAGATTCGGATCTAGCATCAACCATGAGGCTAAAGTTCTTCTAGGCCTGTGGAGCATTTGCTAAGGATTCCTCAGAAATGAGCATCAACATTCAAGTTGATTCATCGCGCAGGAAAGCTTTAGGAGCCATGGAGAAAGCTGTGTGATTTCAGAAGATAAACTCCTGCAGAAAATAATGCCAACCTCTTTACTAAATGCCAACAAATTGAGCTTTCTTGAGCACCGGATCATGAAACCTGACAGGACACATGCAAGATCTCATTTCAGTTAGAAATCACCACTCTTTTCAGCATCAGAAGAATTCTAAATACGGTACTGACCAGTTTCAGGGAGGGAAGAGAAGCTATAGTCTGCACTGTCTAGAAAGCATCAAAGAGACCATGTGGAATAATAAGGATGTGTTAAAATATATATATTTATACACACATACACATACAGATTCTTAAGCAGACTAGTTTTTGAAAGAACATCCTAGAGAACATGATAAATCAAGTGTGATAATAGCAAGCTAAATATTTCTATAAAAGTCAGAGGAGTATTTTCTAGTATTTTCATGAATACATGGAGGAAGTTACACTATGGTTACACATGGTGTAAATATGTTGGTAAGAATCAGTACGGAGAAAAGGGCGATTCAGGAGACTCTCCTCCAGTTTTGAGCGATACAAGACAGGATGACTATGGAGGAAACTCATCTCATGGCCACCTGCCAGATCAGCTTATGATATGGTAAAATATCCAGTAAGAGGGAATTTGTCCAAGGTAGGGATAATGGACTGGCATTTGGAGACGGTGCATTGAAAGGCCATGCTGTATCCTTGTATTTATCGGTGAGACAGGAGATCTCTAGCCAAACTGGATCCAGCAGTGGTCTGGAAGCTGCACAACTGCTCCTCTATGTCGTGAGCACGTCACCCCAAGCAATGCCCATTGAGGGGTGCCGACCTCTTATGCTCACCCCAGCACAGGGGGGTGAGGGAAGCGATGCCCATAGGAATTATCACGAGATAAGCGATGCCCATAGCTTCGAGAAACTGCCTCAAGGTGGTGCTCCAGCCAACCTTCTGGTCTGTGATTTACATCAGCACAGTGGTTTTCACTCTCTCAGAGGGAAGAAACAGCATCAGACCATGAAAACCTGCAGTGTTTGGTTCAATACAGATAAGCAGGACAACTTTCTCATACTGTCCAGGATTAATCACAGAATCAAAGTGAAAGAAAGAATAAACTAATGAGTATTTAACTAACACTTACCTACATCACCTCCTGTCATGGCTTTTTAAAAAGTGAACGTTCACCTTTCCTGCCTCCAAGTTGGCTCTTTGAGGCAGAATTCATTATTCAGTTTTAAGATTAAGTCGAATTAGGCAATGGGCAAAAATAACCAATCTGGCACTAAAGTTTAAATCTAACTTAAGACTAATGTTGAGACTCTCCAAAAATTCCACTTCGGCTTTCACATAAAAATGTATTTCTGAAAGCAGTACAACTTGGCTCTGAAGAACTGAATAGGTGCTGAATGGAAGGGGACAAGTTTCCTTTTATGCCAAGAAAAGAAAATTGAGGGCACATGGAATCCTACCGTGATGGTAAGAGCAGGAATGACCCAGGCATCCGAGTCCAGTATTATCTCCAAGCTTTACAGAGCGTTTCAGCACAGCTTAAACTGCTTCTCCCATTGCAGGCACTTCTTTGTGCCAGGCAGCTTTGCCTCCCTGAAGTTTTATTTGCAGAATACTGGGGAATCAAGCAATCTTTAAAACTAGATACTTCCCTTACCCAACCCACTCTTCCTTCAGCCCTTATCTGCCCTTACCTGTCTCCACTAGGTCACTTGAAAAGTCCCAGACATTTCCTTCCTTTGTTTGTCTTGGCCAGAAAGGGAAATGTCTTGTGTGTCAAAAGTTGAGGTCAAATTCCGGGCCAAGTTCTTTAGCACCTCTGGCCTCAGTAAATCTAACTTCTCCTTCTGCCTTGAGCTTCGTACAAGCACTCACATGTTCTCTCCTTGTTCTCCTCGCCCACCTTCACACAGGATCTAAGTGGAAGCAACAAAATGACCCTCTGCTTTCACAGAAACGAGGCAAAAAGTGGGTTTGGGTTTCATCTTCTTTCCAGATTTGCACAGAGACAGAGTTTATCAGAGTCCGAGACCAGGGAGAGGGGCACAAAGGGCCTGGTTGAGATGGACAAAGAACAACTAGCAAAAAAATAAATAAATTAAAAATAAATTAAAAATACATGTCTTGAAAAAGTGGTTGATGGGGAAAAAATAAGCTACTTATGGCCAGATTTTGATTTGTCTGTGTCCAAAATAATGCTTCTTGGAGCCCAGGTGGATCCCAGACTTTACAGAAGGAGCATTACATTCTCCCTTCTTTCCTTCTCTGTACAATTCAGATATTATTGCAAAGAGCAACTGTATGAAGTGCAGAAAGAGGGAAGAGACAATATTTCTGGTAGTATCTGCAAGGACCAGCATGGCACTGGGTCAGGTTTTACCATTTAAGAATCAGGATCTCATGGAGATCTCTCCCGAGAGCCTTCTCTTTCCCGTTCTGTGTCCACCCTGCTTCTACTGCCCAGGCTTTGTCCTGTATTTTTTGCATTCCCCTAAGCATGTGGAATGCCCACGTGGAAACTCAGAAGGAGCTGGAAGGAAACCCCTTCTAAAGCAGGGAGAATAGGACAGAACTTTGAATGCCCTCTGGTCTGGGATTACAGCATCTAGGACTTGAGGCTGGGAAAAAAATAAACCAAAAACAAACAGAAAGCCTCTTCTCTATCTACAAGTAACTTGGATGTCTAGATTGCTATCGCCCAGGAGAATGGCAATGATCTAAGCCCTAAGCTTGGCTTGACTTGTTGCTAGACGGAGACCTGAGCGCCCAGGAGCAGCCGTTCCGGCGCAGAGCGAGCCGAGCAGGTGCAGACCTAAGAGGACGAGGCGAGCGTGAAGCTCCCCGAGTCTGGGCAGGGAGGGCTGAGCTAGCGAGCCACAAGCCTACCGCGCGGGCAGCGCTTCGGTTGGGAGCTCCTTCCTTTGCAGATGGACGCCTTGATCTCAGCGTCGCCCTCCTCTCCTCTGCACCGAATCAGCCCCGTGCGGTCTCTGGCGAGCAGCGCACCTGACTGCGGGGTGCCCGGAGCCCCCAGCTGCTGTAACCACAGCTTGAAGGAAGGCAGCCTCGCTCCCCTTCGCTTACGAGAGCTGCGCTGGATGCAAACAAAGCCAAACCAGGCTGTTCTCGCTCTAAACTCAGGGTGAGCCTGGCAAACAGGAAGCTGATGAGCATAGGTGGAAGAGCAAGATTAGTGACTCTTTGATACTGCTGGGAGAATACCCATGAGTAGCTCAAATGAGCTGCACTAGAACAGTGTTACCTGCAGTAACATTTGCAGAAACATTTGTCCAGAGAAACACAGACATCTGGCCATACCTGGCCAGCTGATACCCTAATTTCACCCAAAACAGGGGAAAACTTCAGCATTCGCATTCACCTCTCTGAGCTTCACGTTCATATGAGTCATTAACTGATGCCTCATGGGCCAGAGCAGGGGAATATCAGATACAAGCAGCTATTGTCAGAGCTGCTCTTACAGCACTAGGACTAAAAACAATGATGAAGAACCAAGAGATCTACAGCGAGCAAAGAGCTTTCTCCATGTCAGCAGGAAATCAGCCAGTACCACTTACCTGGGATAAGAATCAGTTGTCATGCCCTGGAGACAGAGGACCCTTCCTCATAATTCACCATTCATTTCACCCCTGGACTCCTCCCAGCAGCTGCACACAACTCCTTCCCCAAGCATGCCTGCTCCCATTGCTATATAGAGCCTCAGACAGGCCAAACAAATGGAGAGAGGTTGGGGGTTAATAATCATTAAATGGAGCTCAGCTGTCTCTGAGCTGTGATTTCCTGGGATCAAGGCCAGGCAAGTTCCTCCTCACACCCTTGCAGCAGAGAGCAAAGGGGCTGGCCTTTTCCAAAGGGGAGAAGTTGTTTGAAAGGCCTTTTCACTAGCCCAAGCTCTCTAACATATGAAATGATTCAAGCAGCTTTGCTCTTGGCTGGGCTGTCTAGGGAGGCACTTGGGCGATGCTGAGAGGCATCACGTGTATGAGCTTGTCACCTTCCCTGCTGCTAAGAGCTCGGAGTTAGGTGAGCAGGCAAGTTGATCCTGGCTTTTGTTCTTCAGTGGGACTCAGGGTGGCCCAAGAGTCACTAAGGGAGTCATCTTAAGAGAAGTGGATAGACTCCCTCTCCATCGTTGAGAGTATCCCTGTGGGAAGGTCTGCTCTGGGGTTGGAAGTGGCAGGGTCCATCAAACTGTGTCCCCTTAGCTTTTTTCACGTGCAATGTCCAGCGTGTTCTGATCCTTGGGTATTTGCAGGAGGGGAGGCATTTAGCCTGGCTGCTGCCTCCTACTTGAGGTGCTCTTTCCAGCTCTGCAGAGGTGTTGATTCCTCCCCAGGATGATTCCCTGTGGACACTCGCGTCTTTCCTCTCCACACAATAGCACTATTGACATGAAGAGCCTGTAGAGGGTAGGTGGGGATCAAGTTACTTTGTCTACTAATTATTCATGAACAGGCCAAGCCAGTCTGCTCCAGGCTCTAAAAGGAAGCCCAGAACGTGTGGGCAGGATTCCGAAAGCATCCCGGATTTGCACAGCTTGTGGACAACTCCGTCCTGCCCCTTGGGTATGATGATGAAGGGCCCTTCTACTCTGCCTCCCACATCACCTCGAGGCCTCTCTCCGGAGCATGTGCACAGAGCAGAATGCCACAGATCCGGCATTGCCGCCTTTCCCGCAGACCTGGGGCTCCGAGGACCTCAAGGACCTCTGTGAGCCTTCCCCTCCCTGTGCTCTCTCAAGGGAGCTCTCTCGCACAGCCTGGTCCTCAGCAGCGAGGAATATTTTTAGCCATTGCGACTTGAAGCCATAACTCTTCCCACCCTGCAGAAACAAACCTGCTCGTTTCCTGCCTTCTATGGACAGACGCTGCTCCAGGCTCTCCTGCTGCCGTGTTGCAAGCACCCAGGCTGCTGCTTTTAAGCTGCTAATAGTCTGTTTAGTATCTGAGGGCCATCCTGGCAGTGCCCTTCTCGGTCGACCTTTCAGACGAGGAGGTAGCTCTCAGATGTTGTAAGATCAGGCTCATGCTTGTTGGAAGCAAAGGCCAAGTTCCGAATACCTCATTCCCATTAATCTCAGTAGGAATTTGTTGCCCACCGGCTTTTGGAAATCTACCTGCACCTTTGTATTCCTAAACGTTATCTCAGGCTTGTCCTGGGCTCATTAGTTGCAGCAATAGTGGTGCCCAGTTTTCCAGCAGAGCAAGGGAATGCTTCTCTTCCTTTGAGTAGCTGCTGGCCAACAAGGCCACTGGAATGGCCATGTCTGTGCAATTTAAAGAACGGTTCCTCAGCTCTCTCAACCCCAAGTGGACTTATATCCACAGTGGGACTCTCCAGCATGAGAAAGAGAGCTTTCCATTGGCAGACGGAGCTGTCTGGACAGCTAGTGGACCTGGGCATGTTAGGGAGCAAACAAATTATTCATCACTCGGAGACCTACAGGGCTTGAAAATTTTGGAAAGCCCCTCTGTGCCACAGAGTGGTGGGAGTAATGACGAAAACCTCCTTGCATGCTGACAGGGGCGTCCAAAACCTGCTGGCTTTGACAAAGCAAGTGTGTCTGTCCTGTCTGTCAGGCAGACTTGTGCCATAGGGGAGAACCAGACTTGCCTGCTGTGCAGACTGGGAATTTGTAGAAAGTTTTCCGACTGCCCGGGAATATGCACAGCCTCTTCTGGGAGTGTCCGTGTGCTCCAGACGCACCCCACGCGGTTAGAGAGTTCTCCCTATATGTCTTTACATTCCTTTTTGCTCTTTTGCAGTTCACCTTAAATTTCCTGAAATTTTGCAATACTTCAAGCATTCCAAGTACATCCTTCCGTGCAACGGGGTGTAACCATGGGGAGTCTGGATGAACAGATGGCAATCAAGTCTTTACAGGCTACGTGAAGATAACCCTTGCAGAGCACTTGTACTTAGCTATGGATTTCAGGAGCCAATCGGAATGGGTAGAGGATTTCTGTTTTAATGATAACGCCTCAACGAAGTGCTCTTGGAAAATGCCCACAGTGATTAGAGCAGTAGGGTTTAGCATTTGTACAACAACAGGGAAGTTCAAAGCAGCTAGACACATGCTTTCCTTCAGAAGAAGGTCATGACGTGCTTAATGACAGGCCTGCTCACTGCTCTTTGCTCTCTGGATCTCTCCATTCCCATTTCCAAAGTCCACTGGGTGCCACTTTCTAAATCCTCTTGTTGCGTGAACCCCACAGCCATAGTAGTTGTCTATACGTGCTCACATGCTCCCTCTTCCCCACCCACACATGATTACTCTATGCCAAAAGCTCTTTATGGCCTACTTGACTTCCCATTTGCCTCCTCCAGGTCCATATGCACCTCAAGTCCTCCATCCCTGTGCTCACGCAGCATTTCATGCAACCTATGCCACCCAACAACTCCAAGGGCTGCAGGAGTGCAGACATGCACAAAATCCTTCTCCCAGGCACCTGAGAGAGCCTTCCCCCTTGTAGACTCGGTTACTGGTAGACTGGTGACTGGGTGTCACTGGGAGACACCCATTGCCCCTCTCCATTGTGGTTGGAGTATCTGCCCAGCCTTTGCTGCTCAGACTGGATCCCACGGTGAGACCCTCCCCTATACAACGGTTCAGTATTGAGAAATACTCTTTCATCCCAAAGTTTATTCTCTTTCTTCATCCTAAGAGACTTTTTGGTCGGTCTTAGTTAGGTTTGCCTCACTTCCTCAGATATGTAAATGTCTAATGTCCATATTTGCTAAAGAAAGCAGCATCCCTTATCTCTCACTGCTCTTCAAACTACTTTGGGCAATTTTGTTCTGCATGAGACAAGCTCCAGTCCTTACACCCAACAATGCAAATGATGATGATCCAACTAGGTAAAAGGTTGCAGTTCCTTACTGGCCTTTGGCTGAGAACAGGGGCAGGAATTACCCTCTTTGGGGGCACCGAATTCTGTGTGGCTGGTGGCCAAACCGCCTCCTAAACATGTTCCTAACACAGACATTTCCTTTCCCCTCACATCTTTCCCCATGACCATTATTTTTAATTTTCCTTTTTCCTCTTCCAGGATATCAGGTTCTTTTAATTGAACTGAGAATTAAATCAGAAAAAAAAATCCACCAAGAACAGTTTTTAATCTGGAAAAAAAAAAAAAGAGAAAGTTTTAAAGCTTTATGCTTGTTCTAGGCATGATAAAACTCTGTCCCAAATGGGATCTGCCTGGTTGCTGCTCCCTCAACTGTGTTTAAGCTCAGCTAAAACTCTGGCCATCACAGATATGGTTCTTAATTCTCTTAATTCTCAGAGTCCAGGATGGCCTGCTCAAGATCTGGGGTTCACGTGGAGGATGACGGATAGAATATGGAGCTGGAACGAGCCTCATTTTCTGCTTGCTGGAACCAGCTGAGCCGCTGCCACTCACTATGTCACGCAGCTGAGCCACAAATTACGGTGGTTTGGACCCAGGTGTGCAGGCTTCACCCTGGGAACAGCTGAGGCCAGATCACCATCTCATTCTGCTCTACCAGAGGCAATGATTTGCCACAGCAGAGAGATACCGGAGAGTTTCGGTTATTGCCATATGGCGTTTCTTGATAAAGGTGACTTAAACTGATGCTTCCTTGGGTAAAACTTTCTCCTTAAAAACTTCTAAAACTCTTTTGGGGGACTTTTGGTGAGTCCTCAGCACAGCAGTTTGCATCTGCAGCTGAAGCCTTGACCAGTCTCTGGAATATGTCAAGCGAAATTACTTAGGGCTTGATATGGGATCTCCCTTTTCAGGGCCAACACACAAAGCACACAAGACATCATCGCCAATACCACCCTTTTCCAAAGCCCCTTGGGCTCCTACTTGTCCCTGTAGTCCTTAGTGCCTGGAAGATGTGCACAACTTCAGCTCTTCAGTTTGAGGAAAGGAGTTTTAGCATCGCCGTTGTGCTCAAACTGAAGAGCTGAAGTGCAGGCTTTGAACAGTCACAATGGAAGAGGTTTCCATCCTTCCTGGCTTTCCAGGCTCCTGCACAGCCATTAGAGATGTAGGCAGCATATTCATCATCTTATATATGATCCTTCTCATGTATTATATGAGCCTTCTCATGGATATGTTTACCTTGAAGAGAAATGATTTCTCTAATATAACAGGAACCTAGGAAGCCCAAGTAGATGCACTGACATAAACCTAATCCCAGATGCTAATAGGAATAAAAAGAGATGAAACAATTTTCATTAAGGCAATGAAGGAACCCCATTGGGGATGAAGGAACCCCCCAATGAAGGAACCATAAGGTTGAAGGAGCCCCATTCTTCATAATCAAGCTTTGGATGCAAAAAGGTCCAGTGGAGAGAGCTGTCCTATGGTTTATAGCCTAGGAAGTCACCAGGTGAACTAAAAGGCTGCTGCACTCATTTAATTAAATGAGGGTAGGAGAGTATATAAATAATCTCCTTGACATGAAGTGGACATAGGCTTGCCTGGATGTTCATAGGACCTGTCCTGCTCTGTACTGTATACAGTAGCTCTTGCTATCTGTGTTTTTTTCTCAAATATTTGAGAATCTGGGGAAATTCACATCAGTCTTAAAACTTTGGGGTCCAGTGTGGCTGGTTTGGACAGTGTGAAGACATTTAAAGCTGTATATCTTAAGACAGCCTGGTAGATTGCGGGGAGAAAAAGGTTCAGCCTTGTCTCATTCCTATCAAGAACACAGAGACATCTTGCCCAGAAATGAGGACTTACAACTTGATGTGCTACATGGTGACCTAGGACACAATTTGGAAGCTGCATATTTGGGGTTTCTAAGCAGCTCTGGAGTGGCAAACTGGATAAACTCCCCAAGTTCAGGCACTCTTGCTAGTCAAGGCTTTGAAAAGAAAAGACTAGACTCCTCTGGCCATTCGGTGTGACCACAATGATGAGATTAATTTCCTGTAATGGGTGCTGGCCTGTGTGTAAAGCCAGACTTTGGCTGAGAGAGACCTCTCCTGCAGCAGTGAACACTGATTTCAAGCTCTCTGCATTAATTTATCTATTTTCTGATGTCACTGATGTCACTAACTTCCTCCTGACTGTATCTGGGGTTGGACCAGATGACCTCAGAGGTCCCTTCCAACCTTAAGCATTCTAGGATTCTATGATTTGATATAACCTGCAGGATGATATGGACTGTTGAGGGATTTTTTTTCTGATGGACTTCAATTCTTCCTATTCCTGCCAGGGTCTCAGAAGTGAGCAGTGACCACAGTTTGCTGCTGCTAACATTCAAATGTCTAATGCAATAAGGCCGGAAAATCCTCAGGTGTTCTCAGGAATCCTCAGGAATAGTTTTTCCTCTCTTACCCTTTTCTGACATAGCTGAAGAGGGGTGGCTTCAATTGCAGCAATACATTGAAGGAACTCAATCTGTTCCATTTATAAAACAAAACAAAACATCAGCTTCTGAAATTATTCTGACATATGCTAACCAACTCTGGAAAATCCTGGATTCCACTTGATTTTTAAGTGATAAAATGCATAAAAATAATACAATTCCAGAGCTTAAGCACCATTGGGTTTGGTGGGTATTTTAGCCTCATTAAAACCTGCTCCTTGTTAGACTGTCAAATTACTGAGGGCAAAAGTGAGGTGCTTGATGTGTGCAAATCCACAGCAGATGCTCCTGGAAAGGACTTGCAGCTGACATTAGATTTTGGGCCCATTTTGGGTTAGTTTGGATAATATTTCATATCTCGGGACCAACCTGCTGATGGCTAGATGACGAAACGGGGCTTTTCTGCTCTGAACATCTCAAAGCCTTTGTGGAAAACCTTGCACTTCAGAGGTTTAGGTCTAGACTGTCCCTAGGTGTATTCAAGGATGTCTTTCCACCTTCCCTCTGGTCCTCAGTTTCCTCCCTGCTCTATCACATTCGCTGTTTTTCTTCCTTTCTGCCCTAATTGTGGGATTTCCACTCTTGATTCAACGTGGGAACACGGGCTTAATGCCACCCCCCTTTAACGCCAGCATTGCCACCCCTTAGCCCGCTCTGCCCGAAGGCTCTAGATGGGGCAGAAAAACAAAAGGCAGAAGAGCCCAACTCCCTGTGCGGTGACAACGCTCTCCCAGGCTACAAACACCAGTTTTATTAGTTAAACCCTCTTGGATGCTGCATTCCAGCTTGGTAACATTTCGGGAACACATTGCAAACGTTTGACTCATAGGAACTTGGAAGGCTGGAGCAGGGGGAGGGGGAAAGCGGCACATTCCCATTCCCGGGCAGGGTTTCGTTGCTGGGGATTTTTTTTTTTCTCTTTTTGTTTTTAAAGAAGTGAAACTTCTCTTTGGTAAAAAAACAAAAAGAGAAAAAAGAAAGAAAAAAGAAAGCGTTTGAGCCGGGCTTTCACCAGGTCGCATTGTGCGTTAGACTAGAGGGGCTGAGGGAGGAGGGTTTGTGCTGCCAAGGGAGGAACCCAAGGCAGCTGAGCTCACTTTTCTTCTGCAAGTTTTTGGGTTTAGTTTTTTTGGGTTTTTTTGCTTTGTTTTGTTTTGTTTTGTTTTTTTCTGCCCTGTGTTCCCAGGACAGGGTTGGCTTTCTAGGTTTGATAAAGCATTTCCTTCCATTGTCATTCTATACGGCCTCTGGGCCCTCCGCTCAGTCCCTCCCCTTTCGCCTTCCCCTCTCTTTCTCTCTCTCTTCCCTTCCTGAACTTTGGTGAATCTTGAGGTATAAAGAAAGCAGCTGCCTCCCTTAAGCACCACCTTGAAAATGCGACCTCCTCTCCAAGGGCTTTAATTCCTCTGGATGCAAGGACAAAGCCAGGGTGAGTAGCCTGCTCGGGACGGGCGCTAGCGCGGCTGTTTTCCGTGCGGGATTAAACTGCTCCGGTGGGTGGTTGTCCGTGTTCCTGACGTGCCGGTGCACCGGCGTCCTCCCTCGTGGCTCTGGGGCTGCAAAGGTGTCGTGGAGCACAAGGGTGCGCTGGAAAGAGCAGATGCTCTAAGCGTTGAACAACCAAACACCACCCAGCGCTGCTTGAGGGCGTGCTGATGCTGTCCCCGTTGGACACCGTGTGCCGGACTCGGCTTGGTGACCCAGCTGTGCACCTGGACTCAGTCCAGCCACCGGCTCTTGCCCTGGGGAACCCGGGGAAAGCCCGGCTTTTCAGCAAGGGGGGTGCAATCCCGATCTCAAAAGCAAAAGAAAGGGAAACAAAAATGATGCAATGAGGTGTGACTCCGAGCTGGGCTCCAAGGGAACATCTTCCCCGTGGCTTTGACGCAGGGCAGCGCAAGGAAGCTCTTGGAAAGAGCAGCTTGGGATAGTGCTGAGCACGCTCAACTCTGCAGGCTGGTGGCGCTTGGTTTTGGAGGTGAGGGCTGTTTTGGAGGCAATCTGCTGCAAACCTTCATGCTGGCGTCCAAATCCCTTCTGATTCCTGCTTTTGAGGAGTTTTCCAGTCCCTTTTCCATGGTGAAGCAATGAGGTGGATTGAGCACAGGGAGCTTTTGCATCATGCAGAGGCTCAGCAAGTCCCAGCCTCTGTGATGTGGGCAGGGAGCATTGCTCGCTGCGGTCCCTATTGTGGACGTTGTCACAAAGCAGGCAGTGCTGCAGGGCGTCTTGTAGCTCCAAAGGCTCTTATTTGGAGTCGGGTTTTGCCAAGTTTGCCTGCGTGATCTGTTTAGCTAGTGTTGTGACAGCAGAAGACATACGTTGCCTAAGAAAAGTGGCTGTCATGCCCCATGGTGCCACTGCCTAGCGCAGAACATTTCAGAAGCGAGGTAATTTGCATTAATTAAGGGAATTCAGGGCAAGGGATGAAGTTACGGGCTAATTTGCAATATTAGGTCCCGTTCTTAACTTCCCCTGCAATTTTAACTGATTTACATGGGAGACACTGAGAGACACAGTGCCATAACCCAAAAATATCTCTTAAGATTTTCCCAAAGCATCACATTCCCAAAAAAACCAGCACATTGTAAACGTGCCAGCAAATCCCACAGAGCAGCTTCCCTGGTTTGCGCTTCCCAGGACACTGACTTGGAGTTTGAGGAGTCCACAGAGTGCACCTAAATACGCTCCAGATGCTGTTATCTTATGGCCTCCATGTCTTTATATCCCTTCCTTCAGTTTCTGCTTTTCATCCTCATCTGGTATAATCCCATGGTCTCCAAGACCTGCTGTCTTTGCTGGAATCTGATGCCTAGCAAATAGTATCTTAGGCTGGGAAACAGAACAGGGAATCTGAGCAACTTGGGAGAGCTGATGGGAAAGATCTAGACCTTAAAGTGCGTATTAAATTCCTATAATATTATAACTGAGCTTCAGATCAAAGAAATCTCTTAAGAGCTTTTTAACAGGTGGGTTATCCCAAATTTCTGTCTTCTGCCCTGGAACAGGGCAGCAAGTCTGGGATCGGTATGATGAGGATGCTTTCCAATGGCTTTACTGGCCTCTTTTGAACCACATAGAGATTTACTGTGTACAATCCATCCAAATAAACGTAGACATGCGTTCCTCAGCCCTGGCTCCCTTCAAAGACACAGCAGAGGAGGAACCTTTTCTGGGGACTATTCTTTTCAGTTAGAAGTAGATATCTGATTTCTAAAACAAATCTGGATAACATAAATTTTTCCTATAAGAACTTTAGGAAAAGGAGCCAATGATTTATATCTGAGGGTAGTTCAACCCGGCAAGAGAATGGCATCAAATCTAGCCAATTTGTCTAACCTGGACAAAAGCTGAAAAATGAGACATCTCAGAATGTTATTCCAACTGGGAGATCTTCACTGACAGACTGATCTCCCACAAATGCCTGGAGGATATGGAGCTTGCAGGTGTAGGATTTAATATTTTTACAAATGGCTTGGGGAAAAAAAAAAAAAAGCCGTTTCTGATAAAGTTTGAAGATGACCAAACACTTTCTTAGCGAGTGAAGTAATGAAGAGTAAAGATAGCTGCTATAGGGAAATATTGGTAATGTGGCAAACCAATATCCCAATAACCAATATCCCAATAACCAATATTACAACCAATATCACTTAGTAAAGTGATTTCACATGGGAAAAGAAGATTGTGAAGCTGGGAACAGAGCATGTAGGTCAGAGACAGACTGAAGGGTCTCTTCTAGGAAACGGTGACAATGGAAAGGATTTAAACATCCGGGTAATGAGAAGATCATTGCCCCTTTTTCCCCATAACATCTAATGCGATATATGGGCAGATAAATGGAACAAGGAGGAAGGATCCCTGGTACTTACTTGATGCCATTAGACTGTGTCCAGCTTTAACATCTACCATTCTAATGGGATTTAATACAGAAATTACACTTAAACTAGTTTATAAGGCTAACATGGTGACATACGTGGTTCTGGCCCTTCAGAACCACACTGACAAAGGATGGACATAGGATTATTCCAGGGAGGATTACAGTCCATTTAGATAAAGAAAACTGTCACATTTCCCTTAAATCCCATTCACTAACTTGAAGGATTTCGATAAAATTGAAATTTAAAGTAGCAGAATGAGGGAGGTAAAATCAGCATCAGCAGCCTTGATGTTGAGGAGACCTTGGGACTACAGCAGGAGGGAACCTCCAAAACTGCTGCCCTGCAGCCCGTGACAGACATTCTTCTAGCAGGAGCTGACATGAGTTAATATAAATGCAGACAAAACCTTCAGATTTAATGAAGCTGTTTGGAGGGTTAATTGCATTGCCTGCATTTTCACAAGGAGATGAGAACTTTACTGCCATTTCTGCTATTAAAAGCCTTCCTCAGCTTTATGCCCATAGTCCACTCCGTAGCAGCCTTCGGGAGTTCATCTGTGCTCCTGGCACTTGCACAATGAGGAAATTGGCCAGCTTTTCCATATTAGCAATCAACTTTCCAGGGATGTTGCATGTATTTTCCAGTGAAGGATGGAACAGCATCAGCAGCCCTTTCATCTGCCAGGCCAAGACTGCACTTCTGCATTAGGAGGGACCAGCTACTCCTAAAAGCCTCGGTCGAGAGCTTTCAGAACACAAATGCCTGGAGAGGCTGTTCCCTGAGCTCAGGAGGTCTGTATTCGCATCGTGTCCTGGCACTTGGCCCTCACATATTGTACTTGTTGGAAGGCTTTGCACCGTGGTTGCTACCATCGGTAGTGCTGCAGCTCTGCTGCTCCCTGGTGCACTCTGGCCCAGCCCCTCCTGCCCTCTGCCAGCCCCACTGGTCCATCAGCAGCTGAGTCCTGCTGCATCAGCAGGGCAGACTGGCCCGTGAGCAGGTCCCATCAGCAGGGCAGACTGGTCCCAACAGCAGGTCCCATCAGCAGGGCAGACTGGTTCCATCAGCAGGTCCCATCAGCACCAGCAGGGCAGACCGATCCCATCAGCAGGTTCCATCAGCAGGGCAGACTGGCCCATGAGGAGGTCCTATCAACAAGGTAGACTGGTCCCATCAGCAGGTCCCATCAGCACCAGCAGGGCAGACTGGTCCCATCAGCAGGTCCTATCAACAAGGTAGACTGGTTCCATCAGCAGGTCCCATCAGCACCAGCAGGGCAGACCGATCCCATCAGCAGGTTCCATCAGCAGGGCAGACTGGCCCATGAGGAGGTCCTATCAACAAGGTAGACTGGTCCCATCAGCAGGTCCCATCAGCACCAGCAGGGCAGACTGGTCCCATCAGCAGGGCAGACTGGTCAAAGGAGGCAGAGACTGGTGGGATGGCAGTGCTGCTCCCTAGACACTTGTTCCTCTGAGTCCGACCTGAAACATCTTTTAAAAATCCTTCATGTTTTCACCACCGTGAGTGATAGGGAACTCTTCACAGACTGTAGTGATGGTATTTGACTAATGCAGCCAAAATCTCAAGTTTGATCTGGTTGTCCAGACTCCCTCTTCACTAAACAGAGTTGAATCCTCCCTTCAGAAGGTCAGTCAGATTCTCTAAAAGGTTCTCTAAAGTCAGGTACCAAAGTGTCATCTCTGGAGGTAGTTGTCTGCCTCCTTTGATTACAGAAGGAGGCTAAAGCGAAATTCCAGTGAGCTACAAGATGACTTCAATGTGAGGAATCTCTTCCAACCAGCATGAAGAGCCTTTAGGATCCACAAACAGGACATTCATGTTAAAAGGATCAGTGCAGGTACACCATGTGCAGAGTTTAAAGGCATTTAGATGCAGAGTATGTCCTGAATTACAGCACCAGGGAAGCAAGATGGTACCTCCAGCTGATGCTGAGCATGGGCCTCAGTTTGTATTCCAGACCAATCTGCTGTCCATACTCTGAGGAACTAAGCTCTGGTCATACCTAGAGATAGAGAACATGAGATAGAGACTTCCAACAGAGACTCTAGGAGATGTGTATCTGCTGCATGGCTGGGTTGGGAATAAAAGTTGTCACTGTATATCTCAGCTGCTCTTGTGGCTCCTGTGTGATGGCATCTGGAGATGGTCAGAATTCAAGCTCCTTTTAACAATGGAGGCTCCTGTGTTCTCCCAGCCTTTGATTGCCTACTGGCAACAGAAAGGCTGCCTGGAGCTGGATATGGGAGACCTCTTATCAAGATCCTGCATCTCACAGGCACTGCCCCATCAAATGGCATGGAGCTACAGATGCTGTTTCAGGCTGTCCCTGTCAAAGCCCTCAGAGCTTTAAGGCCAGAGCAGGAGTTTTGGTTCATGAGGCTCTCTGATCTGCAGCATCAAGTTCTGCGGATACCCCAGGCTGGAATCAGTCTTACTTCTGGTTGTGAGCAGTGTTTGTTCACAAAACTCGGGAGATCCCTGAGTCAGGAAGGCCACTGGAGGCCAGTTCTTCTATTCCTGTGGGGCA